GTACACGCCAGAGTGGAGGATTGAGCTGGTGAATGGGGGGAGGCTCTGTAAGCAGCCTCCACATCCTGCTCCCACTTTCCAGGAAAACATCTGGCAGGCTCCACCTTCTCTTCCTGGTGCTACCCCAGGCCGGCCCAGATGAAGAGTTTGTCTGCACCTGGGCTGGGTGGGCTTGCTTAGGAGCTCACCCACAGAGGTTAGGAGAGCCGGGTCCTCAATGATTCCCAGACCCTCCCAGCCTCTCTCCCAGGGGCAGGTCCCCTTCATGCCTTGCGGCTCATCCAGGGACAGGTTGTGATTGGAGGGAGCTCAGGGTCTCCTGGGCTGTCCACCCACTGACCCCAGCTCTCCCCCTGCGGCAACCCAGCCCATCTTTCTTTCATGAGGACCATGTGCCTGTCCCCACTCTGCGCAGCTCCACTTTCGGAATCTGCAGAAGCGCATCTGTCCCGTTCTCTAATTCTTCCGATGGGAAAGCCAGGGGCCAAGGCCCAAGGCTCAGGCCGGCTCTGGGATTCAGAACCAGCTTTTTCCTCTCTGTGAGTTAGAATCGCCTGGCACCTTTCAAAAACTCCCAAGTCCCAGCCATGTGTTGCACCAATGAAATCCCACTCTCTGGGGTTGTGCAGGCATCCGGGGTTTGTTTTTTGTTTTTGTTTTTTTGGAAGTTTCCCAAGCAATTCCAGCGTGTGGACAAGTTTGGAAGCTACTGTCCTCCCACCCCAGCACCAAGGTAAGTGGCCAGGCCCCATGCTAAGTGCTTTAACTAGGCACTGCCCATCTGTGCCTTCATGATCTCTTTTTTATTTCCCACTCTTAAGACATCAGGAGGGACTTCATGCATTAGTGAAAAGCTGCTATGCATTTATCAGCGACTACTTGCTAAAGTTGAAATTAATTAAAATGCTTAGACAAATATGCAAAACCACAATCAAAATTCTCTAATTACATATTATTTTCTTAATTGAGTTTATAAAAAGTAAAAATAAATGTTGAAGCTAATTAAAGATGGACTTGCCAAGAGACATATGAAAAAATGCTCAGAGCCACTGCTCATCAGAGAGATGCAAATTAAAATGGCAATGAGGTATCACCTCACACCTGTCAGAATGGCTATCATCAACAAATCAACAAATGACAAGTGCTGGAGAGGATGTGGAGAAAAGGGAACCCTAGTGCACTGTTGGTGGGAATGCAGACTGGTGCAGCCATTATGGAAAACAGTATGGCGTTTCCTCAAAAAATTAAATATCGACCTGCCATTTGACCCAGTCATCCCACTTCTAGAAATATATCATAAGGAACCTGAAATATCAACCAGAAAGAATATATGCAGCCCTATGTTCATAGCAGCACAATTTACAATAACTAAGATCTGGAAACAGCCCAAGTGGCCATCAGTATATGAGGGAATAAAAAAAGCTGTGGTACATTTATACGATGTAATACTATGCAACTATAAGAAGGAAGGCTCTCTTATCCTTTGAGACAGCATGGAGGGACCTGGAGAGTATCATGCTAAGCAAAATAAGCCAGTCAGAGAAAGACAAGCATTATGATCTCAATCATATATGGAATCTAATGAACAAAATAAACTGATGAACAAAATAGATCCAGAGACATACTAGTAGAAGCATGGAGCAGACTGACAAATCTCAGAGGAAAGGTGTAGGTAGGTGGTGGGTGGGGAGAGACTAACTGGGGAACTTATATGCATACTAGAGGCCCGGTGCACGAATTCGTGCACAGCTGGGGGGAGGGGATGCAGGAGTTTGGCCGGCTAGCCCCACCCCCTATTGGGGGGTGGTGATCGGGGGCCTGGCCAGCCTGAGGGAGGGGCCGTGGGAGGTTGGCCAGCTGGCCTTGCCCCCAATCGAGCTGGTTGGCCAGCCACGGTGCAGGTCATGGCGACTGGTGCAGTCATTCCGGTCATTCCGGTTGCTTGGTTTTTATATATAGAGATATGCACAGCCCTTGAACACAGACAATAGTGTGGTGAAGGCCTGGGAGGGGTGGGTGTGGGATGAAAGGGGTCAATTGGGGGGAACAAGGGGGATATCTGTAATACTTTCAACAATAAAGATAAACTTTAAAAAACTAAATAAAGTGGAACAACAAATCAATCTTCTGGGCTTGTTTTTTTATGAATAAAATTCTGAGAAACAGAAAAATACATTAAACCCCCTCTAAAAACTTCAACATATAATATATAATGTCCAAATGTTTCCAGTGGAATTGCAATTATTTGTAAACTTTTCAATCCCCTGAGCAATTGGATATACTGTTTTATCATTTTCAGTAATCTAGCTGGTTGTAGCCTGCTTCTCCCTGTGAAGAGAACACAAGGAGACAAGACAAATGTTCTCTAGTCACTAGATGCAATGATGCGTGTAGAATTGGGGACATGTGCTGCTTTTAACAGAACTTGATTTCTTGGACTCTCTGGAGTCAATGGGTCCATCATTTGTAATTGTCTGGGTTGCGGACTCTTTTTGAGTGTCTGCTCAAAACGGCGCTCTTCCTCGGGAACAGGCACATACATACTCAAGCAATTTTGCACACAATTTCTGGGGCACCTGGTCTCCTAAAGTCCTCCAGGTCTCCCGTTGAGCCCCCAAAAATGAGGAAACTGAAGTCCCAAAGGCTAAGGTGACTCAAGCTGCCAGTTAATTACACCATTAGGATTCAAACTCAGATCTCCGACCTCAAGGCCATTCCAGGAGCGACAAGCCTAGGGCGCGTTGCCTGGGTTCAAGCCTGATTCTGCTGCCGGCCTATTACTGTGCAATGTGTAAGTTACATCACCCCTCAGTGCTTTGGTTTCTTTTCTCTTTTCTTTTATTGATTTTTTTTTTTTTGAGAGAGAGAGAGAGAGAGAGGAGAAAGGGTTTGAATTGTTGTTCCCCTTACTTATGCATTCACTGGTTGCTTCTTGTATGTGCCCTGACCAGGGATCAAGCCCACAACCTTGGTGTATGGGGATGACACCCTAACCAACTGGCGACCCAGATAAGGCCATGCTTTGGTTTCTTAATCTGAAGATGGGGGTGATGAAGATAGAACCTTCCTCGCCTGCTGGCGCCTTGTTAGAGTTCTAGGGGTGTTCGCTATAACTATTTACAAGTAAGGAGCCGCTCGGAGAGGCAGGCTGCTGTCCTAAGTCACCAAGCTGCGTCTTGGTGCTCACCACCTGCGTCCCCAATTCCTCCCGGACCCTGTTTGCAAAGTCGTCACCAACCAGGACCAGAGGCGGGTGCAGGAAGTCCAGGAGCTGCTCTCAGGGAGCAGCCTTCAAGTTCAGCACAGCAAGCCATCTCTCTCCTGCAGAGGGAGGACCAGCGACAGGAGCAGGAGAGCAGGGAGGTCCGCGTTAGTGGAAGGGGATGGACAGGCCCGGATGCAGTGAAGCTGGCCTGGGACAGGGGCGGAGCTGCTGCCGAGGGAGGCCTGGCCTCTGGCTCCCACCCCCAGGGTTGTAGACCGGCCAGTGGCAGCAGCAGGGGTGAGAGTGCAGGTGGGGGAGGCAGCAGGGGCAGGCTGGGCTGGCCGGCTGCAGAGGGGTGGCCCGGGAGTGTCCAGCCACAGGAACCTTGGGGCAGCCCCGGCTGAGAATTCTGCAAACTCCTCCCCCCAGAGCTGAGGGCCGGGCTGTAGGAACACTTTCAGTTTTGTTTCTGCAAAAAACGAAACTCAGCAGGAAGACTCCGGAGACTAGACCATGGAGGGAGCCTTCCAGGTGTGCGTGAACTGGTAAGGAGCTGCCAGCAGCCACCCGAGCCCGCCCAGGCCAGGGAGCCGGTGGGCAGAATGAGTCTGTTTCTGGAATGAGGAGAAAAGGGTCCAGGCATCAACTCCCGGGGAGGGAGGGCTGGTGCTGTGGCCCCCGGGGAAGGAAGGCTTACCCCCAGCAGAACTCTGAGGTCATGGGGTGAGGAAGTGGTCAGCATTACCTTACATCACTGGGCCGCACTCACCCTCCACCCCTCAAGACAGTCCCGACTTTCTGGGACGGTCCTGGAGCCAAATAGCCAGGCTAATTGTCCCTGATGGGCTACTCCTGATTTGGGGTTCTGATCATATGGTCTGCACACCAGTCTGAGACCAAGCCCCCCTCACTTTGAGAGGGAGGCTGAGCAGAGTGCAGGCCCGCACCTCTAACTCATCAAGGGCCTCACTCTCAAAGCGGCCCACCTGTGGCAGGAACCAGCAGGGAACCTTCCCAGAGAGCTTTGCTCCAGCCGGACCCTCCTGGCACTTGGGTGTCTGAACCTGCTTGGGGGGAGGAGCTGAGGGGACAGGGCAGGGAAATCAGAGGGGGAGGGACCAGGCCAGGTAGAGGGGGGAGGGACCAGGCCAGGCAGAGGGGGGAGGGACCAGGCCAGGCAGAGGGGGGAGGGACTAAGCCAGGCAGAGCGGGGGAGAACAGAGGAAGGACGGCGAGGCAGCCTTGGTGCCATCTCTGGGCGGTGCAGAGCCCAGAGCTTGTGCATACCAAGGGAGGGAGTCCCTCCCATAGGCAGGGACTTGGGCGTACTACTCTGGTCAGCATTTGGGCCTTTGGGGACACGGGCACTGAGTCTCCCTCCTCCCAAGCTCCACAAGCAAGGGCTGGTTGACGTGAAAGGAGGCCTTTCCTGGTCAACAGGAGGGTTGGGAAACACCCTGCCCGGCAACTGGGAGGCTCAGAAGCTTACACTCTCTGGGGTCAACGAGGCAGGACTGGGGTCCCTGTGAGGGTTTGCGCAGGTGAGCCTGCAGGCAGGGGACAGGTGGACAGCCTCGGCTCTCCCCGTCGTGGCGAGTCTGAAAGCTGGCATTGCCCTTGCAGCAAGCATGGCCGTGCCAGGGCTGGACTCCCAACTTCTGTGGGCCAGGCAGGGGAACTCTTGAAAACAAGACCAAATCTTTGAAAGAATGTGATATTTGTTGCTTCGTTTTTTCAAACAGCTTTCCAGGGGTATAATCGACATATGGTACATGTTTAAAGTGCACCGTTGCATGCGTTTGACACATGTGTATAGCCATGAAACCATCACCACAGGGAACCTATGAACGTACCCAAGCCTTCCCTGGGCCCCTTTGCAATCTCTCCCACCTGCTCCTTCCCACCCACCCTCACTGGCCCCGGGCGATAGAAGAGCTCGGAGCGCGTTCTTACACTTTATGATTTTGCGATGTTCTGATTTGGGACCAACGTGGGGCCACAGGGACGGTGACATCATCTTCATATGTTCAGTGATTGAGGCCTGGACATTCCTTAACCCAGCAGCCCTGGGTGGGAAACAGGGCTCCATGCGTTATACCTGCAATCAGCCCGACTTCCTTCCCCCTTCCTCTGGCAGCAAAAGAAGGGTGGCCTCTCCCCACCTGGCCCTCCATGAGGCGCACTGCGTGCTGTTCCTGGCCCAGTGCCCCGAGTGCAAGGAGCCCGTCCTCCAGGCGAAGATGGACGAGCACTGCGAGAACGGGCACCAGCAGGTGAGGCGGCCCCGGGAGGGACGCAGGAGGGTGCTGCGCGGCGAGGCTGACTCGGACCCTTGCTGCGGCCGCGGCAAGTCGCCGAGCCCTGCATGCTTCAGGCCCTGTGCAGCGGACACAGTATTCCTAGGAAACTGCGTCTACCCTGCTGTTCCCGTGCCCAGCCCTTTCCCTACAGGCTTATGGGTTTAGCCCAGGGCAGAGGTCTCTGTTTCAGGAAGGACTGCGTGTTCTTTTGAGATTTGTGAAGAGGAGAAGCCGGAGAGGAAAGCTCTAGAAGGCAGTCACGGCCAAGGCTGGCTTTTCTTTCCTGCTCTTTCATGTCACTCCTTCCTGGGGCCCCTTCTCTGTCTGTCTGAGATCCTCAGGCTCAGGCATCCCTTTCAACACAAAGCATCCCCCCAAACACTTCTTGAACACGGGGCTGTGCCCCCCGGGGACGGAGGCAAGCACATCTGATCCGGCGCCTGGCGGCGCACAGAGCCCAGCCTACAGCGTGTGAAGCGCGGAGGTGGAGGCGGCCAGCAGGTGCTGGGACCAGCGTCTCTCTCTGTGCAGGTCGGGTGCGCCATGTGCCAGCAGAGCATGCAGAAGAGCGTGCTGGCATTTCACGAGGTGAGAATCAAGTGCAGTTCATCCTTCACAGGAGCAGCCACCCTGGGAGGAGGGGGGTGGGGAGGAGGGGCCGGTGATAGGCTTCCCCCTGACCTCTCTCCTCCCCCAAGGAGGCTTGGGAAGCAGTGGAGAATGTGTTCAGCAGAGGGACACGCAGCCTCCGGTCCCCCAGATGCTGGTCAGAGGGCTTGCTGTGGTCCGTGACCCAGGACAGCTCAAAATCCCCAAAGGGGGTCCCACTCTGGCCCATCCCGTCGGCTTTCTTACTTGCTCAGGCCCCTTGGGAAATCAGCCCATGTCCCTACCTGGGCTCAGCCACTCCTGGCGAGTGACCTGGCCATCCTGCCTGCCTCCCCGCAGACCAGGGAATGCAAGGAGCGCCCCGTTGTGTGTGAGTTCTGCAGGGCAGCCGTGCGCCTCAGCAAGCTGGAGATCCATGAGCACCACTGCGGCAACCGCATAGAGCTGTGCCTGGACTGCGGCCAGCCCATCATGCTCCGCACGCTGGCCCAGCACAGGGATGCCTGCCAGAGCGAGCAGGCCCAGCACCGGGCAGGTGAGCAGGGCGGGAGCCTCCTGGACGGGGTGCGAGGAATGTGGGCATTCAACAGGGCAGGTGCCCTGTGTGGGTGACGGCTGTGCAGGTCTCAAATCCATCTGGCTATTCTAGTTCTAGACCATGTACCAGAGTGGTGGCCTCCTCGTGTGTCTGCTGAGCTCTTCAAATGACCCGCCCAAGGAGACCTAGAGGCAGGCGGAGGGGGGCTGGGGGCCACCCAGAAGGATGCAGGGGCAATGGGGCCCTGCAAAATGGGAGCCTTCCTTGGAAGTCCCCTGGCACGATCCTAGCCTGGCAGAGATCGCCTGCCTCCTCTTAGAGATGGCAAACCCATGCCCAGAATGAATCAGGCACTTGCTAGAGGCAGAGATGAAGCTGGACACCCATGTTTCCCGGCATCAAGACTGGAGTTTTTCCCACCAGCAGCAGTGGGCAGAAGGAAGTTAGCTGGAGCCCCTGACCTTTGGGCTATCTGGTGACTCCCTGGTACCATTTCATGTTCTCTGCACCCAGTTACCCCTTTGTGAGGTGTGTTAGCAGAGGACACAGCTGTCAGTGTGACAGATCTACTGTTGACTTCACCGGTTGTCTTGGTAACATGTGGCATGAGCCTAAAATCCCTGTACAGTACATCTCTCCTGGCAAACAAGCTACTCAAGGTGAAAATGGCAAAGGAAAACCTGGGATGCTAGCACAAATTCATGGGCATTTCATTCATTCCAGCGTGGCTGGACTTTAACACCACCACACAACTTCATCCATGCAGCCCAGCTTCAGCCAGACCACACAACACGATCAACAGAGACAAGTACAATACCAGTCTGAGCCCAGAGCTCAGAAACTGCTGAAATGAAAGAGCAGTCAGGCTGGACAGGGCTGGCATCTGTGCTAATGGCTCCCTCGTCTCTTTAGAAACCAGGGGAATGTCTCTTTATCCGGGTCACGTGCCACGCTGAGCGCACCTCTGCGGCCATAAAGGAGGTGATGTGGGTGACTCGGCCAAGGGTTGCCTGTGTGGCTGAGGATGCTGGCAGGGCAGGGCAGGCAGGCAGGCCCGGATGGTACATACTTGGGATGGTTCATACTTGTGACGACAGGCCATGTACGCACTTGCGGGACAGCTGGGCGAGCCGTTGTCAAGGGCAATCATTTGTGGTGCTGTTTCTGTTTATTAGGGAAGAAGATTTCAGCTCCCGAAAGCAGTATCTGCTGTCATTATTGCAACCAAATGATCCCAGGAAATAAGTATTTACACCATATGGTGAGTAGCAATTAGTCATTTTCTAATGGTGCCCGTAGCTCGTCTGTATTCCAAAAGAGTAGTATTCTGGGTCCAATTTCACATAGGATATGAGAGGGCCTCATTCATTTTTGCTTTGCTCAAAAAGGGATGTTGTGGATGGCTTTGGGCTAATTTATCATACGTAACCCATCTCCATTTGTGCCAGCTCTCAAGGAGCCTCCCTGACCAGTCCAGCCACCTGATCACCTCTGAGCATCTTCAGCCTCAGGGCCTGGGCATGGCCTCACGAGGACCTGCTTTATAATTGTCTGTCCCTTGTGAGAGTCTTGTCTATTGGACTGGGAGCTCCTTCACAAAAGTGAACCACTTTCTCCATCTTCCCACAATGAAGCTGATCTGAGGGCTGGTACCAAAGGGGGACTCTGTAGAGGTGTGGTGATATGATTGATTGGTTGACTGATTGGTTGGTTGGCTTTGCCTGGGAACACTCGACTCTGTAGAGGTGTGGTGATATGATTGATTGATTGATTGATTGACTGATTGGTTGGTTGGCTTTGCCTGGGAACACTCACAGACTCGTCCCTCCATAGCTCTAAGCACTGTAGGTACCTTGGTTGTACCAAGTTATTCCCCTTTTCTGCAGGATGGAGCATTCTCTCTCTGGGGAAACTTCCCAATGTTTGTCTCCAAGAAACTCGTCTCCTTTTCCTTGAGCAGAGAAATGTTTATCCTCTCTTAACCCTTCAATTCAGAGAACTATGAATATCAGAATTGAAAAAATCCTAGGGTGATCTAGATCTTTCTGTTTATTGTGGTAAAATACACATGACATGAAACGTATCATTAGTGACACTTAGTACATCCCCAATGTTGTGAAACCATCACCTCTATCTAGTTCTGGAGCATTTTCACCGCCCCCCCCCCAAAGAAACCCTCTACCCGTGAAGCAGTCGCTCCCTACTCCTTCCTGTCCATAGTCCCTTTGGGTCCCTAATATTCCTTAACTCTCCCATGTTCTCCCCACTCTTCCTGTGGGACATAACAGATGTATATTAAGCCTTCTCATTCTAGCTGCTTGTCTCCTAACTTTTCACATTTTCTATTTACCACTCCTATTGCCCCCCAAAGAAACCCTCTACCCGTGAAGCAGTCGCTCCCTACTCCTTCCTGTCCATAGTCCCTTTGGGTCCCTAATATTCCTTAACTCTCCCATGTTCTCCCCACTCTTCCTGTGGGACATAACAGATGTATATTAAGCCTTCTCATTCTAGCTGCTTGTCTCCTAACTTTTCACATTTTCTATTTACCACTCCTATATTCTGGGGAATTTCTTCAAATCTATCTAATCTGCTTTTTTTTCCTATCCATTGAGTTCAATGTCTGTATTTTTCATTTCTAGTTCTATTTATCTCTCATTTAAATTTGCCTGCTCTTTTTTTCATAGGATCTTATTATTTTCTCTTGTCCTATTTATTTTTAATTCCCTTATTTTACAGTCTGTATCCCATAGTTTTACTATCTGAACTTCTTGGAGACTTAATCCTGGTTTTGCTTGGGGTCTGACTCTTACTTAAGGAGATTGCTTCGTTGTGTGTCTGCAAACCTTACTTGTGAGTTTCTGTTTAGTGACTCTACCTGTGAGAATCCTGTACGATGTAGTGTGAAGCTATATACCCTCCAGAGAACTTTTGTTATTGCTCTTGCCAGACATTCCCACTCGTAGGTTAATTCTTCTGCGTGGGTGTTCCCACACCATGAGACTAATGTAAATCTGAGCCCCAAACACAAAGATGGCACGGACCGTGGCTCTGAATTCCCAGGAGCATCAGTTTTCCTTCCCCACACTCCAGCTCCAGCTCAAGGTGGACAAGCCTCCTCGCCACTTTTCTTATCCGATTAACTGATGGATTGATTGATTGATTGATTGATTTTGCCCCCGTAGTTTAGCCTTCAAGGTTCCGGACTTTCTTCTGGGAACGGGGAGTCTTACTTTCAGTTCCCCACCTTTTGTGGATGGGACTTTCCTCTCATCCAAGACTGACCCCACATCTCCCAAAGTGTCAGCCCAAGTGCTTCACAGGTTAGGTTTTCGTCCTGGGCCACAGAGCTTTCTCTCTTTCTTACAAAGTCAGCTACCAACTTAAATGAGTGTTTGCTGCATTTCATCCAGCCTTTCTAAGTGTTCCTGGTGGAAAGTTTCCAGGTGATCTAGTCCCGTGGTCGGCAAACTGCGGCTCGCGAGCCACATGCGGCTCTTTGGCCCCTTGAGTGTGGCTCTTCCTAAGCCTTGGGAGTATCCGAAATTAAGTTAATAACAATGTACCTACCTATATAGTTTAAGTTTAAAAAATTTGGCTCTCAAAAGAAATTTCAATCGTTGTACTGTTGATATTTGGCGCTGTTGACTAATGAATTTGCCGACCACTGATCTAGTCTATTGTACTGTCCAGCCAGTAAAGCCAAAGTCATCTTAAAATTTGATATATTACTCACAATTGCAGGATAAATGTCGTACCACCTCGGAGTCTGCAAAATATTTTCCAACTGAGGAGACAGGAAATTCTCCTCCATCCCTCCCAAGGCAGGCTGCTAAAGATCAAACTCCCACCGCAGTGAAAGATGTTCGCCCAAAGACGAAAAATGCAAACAGATTTCCTCTTCTTTCTGAAAGTTCAACAAAGCAAGCACCGCGCGGCACAGACAAAACCCTGGACCTGCCTCTGAAGCCTGAGCACCAGCCCTGGGTCGTGGACGACCCGGCCTATGACATTCTGCGGAGGTGCCCTCAGTGTGACATCCTCCTTCCCCTGCCGACCCTAAACCAGCATCAGGTACCAGCCTCTGCTCTCTCCTCACCGGGCCGTACACCATCTGGACAGGGTTTAGAGAAGCCCAGGACCTGCAGGGTGTGTGCAGACCCTGCTACTGGGAAGGCCCTTCCCTGTCTCCTCCTCTGTGTGCCCACATCCACTCTCTCCCAGCACTTCCCACCTGGTTTATTGGCATCATCTCCCAGAGACGGGGCCACCTTTGAAGGCAGAGCCAGCTCTTTCATCTCTGTGTCTCCGGTTCCTGGCCCAGGGCTTGACCACAGCAAATGCTTTAAACAGTTGAGTAAATGAGTGCAGCTGAGGGCCTCCGGTCCAGCTCTCTCCCGGGGTTAAGGCAACGGAGGCCCAGAGATCAGAGCCTCCTTCAAGATCCTGAATCAGTTGGCATCTTGCCTCCAGCAGATTGAGGTTTGCCTCCAGCAGATAGGTTTTGCAGCCTCGATATCCTGAGTTTTACCTCCTAGATGACTTTCTGGTAATAGTAAGAATTAGCATTAGAGGCAGTTAACCATTATGTGCCAGTTACAATGCAGAGTTCTGTACACACAGTTAATCTTCATTATGCATCATGGGCAGATATGTTATTTGTATTTTACAAATTAGGAAACCAGACTGAATTATAATTCCCCAGGATTACACAGTTAGAGAGTGGCTGGATCCAGCCTGGGATCCACGGGTATAGAGTTCCAAACCTTTGCTCTTAAGCTCCAGACTGGATGCTTCACTTAAGGGGGGGAAAAAAGCTTTCATTATTTGTTTTTCAAAATACATGATGTAATTCCCCCGGATTACACAGTTAGAGAGTGGCCCGATACAGCCTGGGATCCACGGGTATAGAGTTCCGAAGCTTATGCTCTTAAGCTCCAGACTGGATGCTTCACTTAAGAAAAAAAAAAAAAAAGCTTTCATTATTTGTTTTTCAAAATACATGATATCCAAATACCATACAAAGTCAAAGCTAATCCTCCCACTTACCCCCCTCCCAGTCCCATGCCGAGATACCAACATCAGCAGCCTGGCTTTACCTTTGCTCGCACAAACCTGAACAAACCCATGTGGGGTTTGAATTCTTCTTTTTCCCCGTATAGTATCTTCCGATACTTATTACACCACCATTTGCCTTTTTCACTTAATATCATCCACACTCCTTACAAAAAGGTCGACCCAAATCTTTATTTTCTAACTTCTTTAAGCATCTCTATATGCACAGAAGCATAGAATTTTACAAAGATGGGTGAATTTCATACTTGCTGGAGTGTTATTAGTGCCATAGTCTCTTTTTTGAAATTTTGAAATTACAGTTTACATCCAATATTATTTTGGATTACCTTCAGATGTACAGCATAGCGGTTAGACATATTCTTTACCAAGTGGCCCCCCCAGTATTTCAAGTACCCACCTAACACCATACATAGTTATTACAATATTAACGGCTACATTTCCTATGCTGTACGATACGTTCCTGGGACTATTTTGTGATTACCAATTTGTGCTTCTTACTCTCTTCACCTTTTTTACCCAGCTCTCAAAACCCCCTTCCCTCTGGCAGCCATCAGTCTGATCTCTGCATCTATGAGTCTGTTTCTATTTTGTTTTCTCATTTATTTTGCTCTTTAGCTTCCACACATAAGTGATATCATGTGCTATTTGTCTTGATCTGTTTGACTTATTTCACTTGGCATGCTACCCTCTAGGTCCAGTCATGCAGTTCCAAATGGTAAGATGTCCTTCCTTTTTATGGAAGAGTAGTGTTCCGTTGCATATTCGTATCACCACTTTCTTAGCCACTTGTCGATGAGGGGCACTTGGATTGCTTCCATATTTGGCTATTGTAAATAACTCTTCAGTGAGCATAGGGGTGCATATACTCTTTCGAATTAGTGTTTTGTGTTTCTTTGGATGTATAGCCAGAAGTGAAATTGCTGGGTCAGAAGGCAGACCCATTTTTTATTTTTCCAGGAACCTCCGCACTGTTTTCCATCGTGGCTGCGCCAGCCGTGCAGGAAGGTTGTCTTTTCTCCACATCCTCACCAACACTTGTTATTCATTGATTTATGGATGATAGCCATTCTGACAGGTGACATGGTATCTCACCGTGGTTTTAATCTGTATTTCTCTGATGATTAATGATGTTGAGCATCTTTTCATGTGTTTATTAGCCATCTGTATGTTCTCTTTGTAGAAGTGTTTATTCAGGTCCTTTGCCCATTTTTTATTGGATTGTTTTTGTGTGTTGTTGTTTTGTTGTGTGTGTTTTTTTTTTGGTGTTAGGTTGTATGTTGTTTATAAATTTTGTGTATTAAACCCTTATCAGATGTATCATTGGCAAATATCTTCTCCCATTCAGTAGACTATCTTTCCACTTTGTTGGTGGTTTCCTTTACTGTGCAAAAGCTTTTTAGTTTGACGTAGTCCCATTTGTTTATTTTTTCTTTTGTTTCTCTTGCCCAAGGAGATATATCAGAGGGGGGAAAAAAACATTGCTAAGAGAAATGTCACAGATTTTATTGCCTATGCTTTCTTTTAGCAGTTTTATGGTTTCAAGTCTTACACTTAAGTATTTAATTCATTATTTGAGGTCTTTCTTAATATGGCATTAAGAAGGTGGTTTCTTTTCTTTCTTCTTCTTTTTGCATTTAACTGTCTAATTTTCCCGTCTGTCTTTATCCCATTTTATGTTCTTGCCTCCTTTGTCATAGATTAGCTGACTTTAAAGGCATGGGCTTCTTTCTGGGCACTCTATTCTGTTCATTGTGTCTGTTTTTATGTCAATGTCATGCTGTTTTGATTACCTTGTATAGTTTGATATTAGGTAGCATGATACTTCTGGCTTTGTTCTCTTTATCAAAATTGCTGTTGCTATTTGTGGTTCCATAAAATTTTGGATTATTTGTTCTAGTTTTGCAAAAACTGCCATTGGTATTTTGATAGGAATTGCATTGAATCTATAGATTGCTTTGGGTAGTATGGACATTTTAATTCTTCCTATCCATGAGCATGGTATATGCTTCCATTTATTTGTATCTTCTTTAATTTCTTTCTTCGGCATCTTACAATTTTCTGAGTACAAGTCTTTTATCTCCTTGGTTAATTTTATTCCTAGACATTTTATTTTTTTATGTAATAGTAAATGGGATTGTTTTCTTAGTTTCCTTTTCTGATAGTTCATTATCGTATATAATAAAACCCTAATATGCAAATCGACCAAACAGTGGAACAACTGGACGCTATGATGTGCACTGACCACCAGGGGGCAGACGCTCAATGCAGGAGCTGCCCCCTGGTGTTCAGTGCACTTCCACAGGGGGAGCACTGCTCAGCCAGAAGCCAGGCTCACGGTTGGCGAGTGTAGCAGCGGTGGCAGGAGCCTCTCCCGCCTCAGCTGCAGGCGGGCGGTAAGGAGTGAGGGGTCCCAGACTGCAAGAGGGATGTCCGACTGCAGCTTAGGCTCAGTCTCCCCAAGGGGTCCCAGACTGCGAGAGAGCACAAGCCAGGCTGAGGGACCACCGGGCCTCTAGTTGATATATAAAAATTCAACCAATTTCTGGATATTTATTTTGTATCCTGCTACTTTACTGAATTCATTTATCAGTTCAAGTAATTTGGGGTGGAATCCTTAGGGTTCTCTACATACAGTATCATGTCATCTGTAAATGATGGTTTTACTTCTTCCTTTCCAATTTGGATGTCTTTTACTTCTTTTTATCTGATTTCTGTGGTTAGGACTTCCAGTACTATGTTGAATAGAAGTGGTAAAAGTGTACATTCCTGATCTTAAGGGAAACACTTTTAGCTTTTCCTGGTTGAGTATGTTAGCTGTGTATTTGTTATATATGGCCTTCATTATGTTGAGGTGGTGCCGTATTCTCTTAGTTCCCACAATTTTTTGTTTCCTTCCATACATTCCTTCATCCTTATATAATAGGGTTGCCAAATTTAGCAAATAAAAATATATTACTTGAGACAAAAATAATTACAGAGTAACAGCATGGGTCATAACCACATACAAACATACACATTTGGAGTCCGATTATATATATTTCCTTGGAACTTAATGTTATGATTTAGCAATACCCAAGGACATTCCTCCCTCCAAGTCCATATGTGGCTCTTTATTTTTTTTTTTTTAATGGCTGCATAAGAGTCCCTGGTGTGGGTGTTCTTCAATCTGTCCATCCACCCGACTGATGATGACAGGCCTTTAGTAAGCATTGCCCTAACCGTCTCCCCTGCCCCCCGCCCCCCAGGCCCTTCCTAGTTCACTGGGCCCCATGCCTTTTCTCTGCCATCGTAGCTCAGGGTTTGTGCTCCAGGAACTAGGGAGGGCCATACCCAGAGATACCCCAGGAAATAGCACTTCCCACTTTAAACATGTCAAACTTTTTTTTATATCCGTTTCTTTAGGAGAAATGCTGGTGGTTAGCTTCATGGCGAGGAAAACAAGGGAGAAACTCCAGCTAGATTTGGAAAAGAAAAGGTACTGCAGATTTAGAAGATGTATGGTCTCCCTGCTGACTATCTGTGGTAGCCTCTCCTTGGGAAAGGAGGTGGGTTTTATTCCTGGGGGGTTTTCCTATGGAAGAAAGGGTTTGGATTTTAACTATTTCCCTCCTTTTGGACAGAGATGTTGGTTTGCCCAAGAGATACAGATAAACCAGGAGAGAAAAAAGCCTCCAGCTCTTCTGCCTGAGAATTCGGATCAAGCATCTGGGCCCCATGGCCTGGACATGTCGGGGGACCCCAGCTTTGTCCATTTTAAATTCCCACCAGCAATTGGTGTGACCGTCATCATTTCCCCACATTCTCTGGCCAGCGTTTGGTATCACCATCATCATTTTTTTCCAATTTTAACTATTCTAATAAGTACGTGGTCGTCTCTTACTGTGATTTCCAATTGCATTTACCATAATGATGTTGATTATCTTTTCGTTTGCTAATTTGCCATCTGAAATGTCTATTCGAGTCTTTTGCCCATTTTCAGAATGGACTGTTTCCTTTCCTGTTGAGTTTTGAGATATGTACATATTCCCTGGAGAATAAAAACACCCTCAGAGGGAAGGCAGGGGAGGGGAGGGGGGTGAGAGATCAACCAAAAGACTTGCATGCACGCATAGATGCATAACCAATGGGCACAGACAGGAGGGAGGGGAGGGCCTGTGCTGGAGGCGGGAGAGGGCTGGGAGCGGTCAATGGGGGGGAAAGGGGACATGTGTAATACTTTCAACAATAAAGAATTTTAAAAAAAGAAAAGAATAAAAACACCCTCCCTGAAAGCTTCTGTTCACCTTTCTTTGGATTCTTCACTGGTTTCCCAAGAGAGGGCCGCCGTGGGCAGCAGGGCCAGACAGCGCACAGGAGAGGGGAGGGCCAGAAGGGAAGGGAGGGAGAGAGAAGTGAGCCTGGGCTGTAGGCTAAGCTGCCTGCGCACACTGGTGTGGGTGTTTCCAATCCGTCCATCCACAGCCTTGATGAAGACAGGCCTCAGTAAGCATTGTCCCAAGCCCCCCACAGGTCCCTGGGATCACTGGTGACGCCCAAAGGGGTGCCTTTCAAGGCTGTTGGTCGAGGTGGCTGGGAAAAGCCTAGTGATGCAATTGGCCAACAGTATAGCCTACCTTTCTGCCTGGCCTTTGGGGTGACCCGCTAGAGACCAGCCCCTGCCTGGAAGGGAAGGGCCAGGGAAAGTGGGTGTGTTAGGTGCTTCCTATCCTCCCCCTCTCCCCACCCCGCCCCCGCCCCCGCCCCCGCCCCCA